GGGGGGCCCCAGGGGGGGGGGGGCAAATGCCCCCCCCCCCAATTTATTTTTTGCCCCCCCTCAAAAAAAATTATTAGTCACTAAGAGCGACTAAAGGCTACACAAGCGCTTTGTAGTTATCGGAAAATGTATGGCTTATAAGTTGTCATTACTCTTTAGTGAATGCACGTATACATGAAACTGTTTTTTACAGTTTCAATATTAGTTTGTAAATCTCTGAATGGTAAAACTTGCCAATACTCCAATAATACGTTCCAAAAAAAGACAAAAAAGCTTTAGTTTTGCAGAGTTAAATTCTCAAACGTGTAAGGCATTAATAAGATGAAAGTATCACGAAATTATTTGAATAAACCACATCGCATATATGGGGGGCGAATGTCCTAAAGAGGGGCGATATTCCTAGGGTATTCGCCCCACCCCCCTGGGAGGCGATATCACCACGTTTTGAGGGGGGGGGGGTGAATCTCCTGGGGGGGCGACCTTTTTAAAAATTCTATCTTCCCCCCCCCCAAATTTGAGTTTGCCCCTCAAATGCCCCCCCAAATTTGGAGGCCTGGCGCCGCCACTGCCAACACAGTGTTCAAACAAGGCCAATGTGTTACATCTAATAATGCAGTTAGATGATGCCAGACCAACGTTTGAACAGGCCTTTAGATGACTGTAAGAACCAGTTATAGTGAACTGGTTCTCTATCACTGCCAGTCAGACTCATTGGTCATAACTGATAGTAAACTCCAGCAAACTTTTGAATAATATCATAATATGAATTAATCAAAGACAAGCTGGAAATAACACTATGGAGTGTTTATAGAAGTCCTACATGGAGGATCTTGTGTGCTAATTGAAATCCTTACTAAAAATTGTTTTCGTTTATATGAGAGGAGAGCCCACAGCCCTCCTAGGTGAGATCTTGCCATTGATTTATACCTAGATCGAGTTCAAGGCTAGTAGGGCTGGAAATTCCCCAAGGTATATGAACACAGCATGGAGGGCTGGTTCTCCTAGTAAAGGCTGAGTGAAAAACTTGCTGTATCTGTGTCAAACTCAGCTTTTTAATTTATTCAAATATTTAGCACTAGAACAATATTCAATTGTCTGTTGCTCACAATTGCTTGGCAGAATGATTTTAACCCATTCTATTTTAACCCATAGCCAGCACGCTCCCCATGACAAGTAAAATCATCTGGCGTTTGACAGAGTAAAATAATCTGGCGTTGGACAGAGCAAAATAATATAGTAGGATGCATTGGGCCACAATGCGACTCAATGGGTTAAACTTGGTAATAAATAAGAAAATGTGGTGTTGTTTATGGAAGCAGCCAACCCAAGTATGAGGGCTGATTTTTCTCCCTCCATGTGCACAGGGCTCATGTGTTTAGTTAAACACCCCCTATAATATACAATACTCAAATTTGTACTCAGCTTTTTGTTAACCGGTCTTAAATCTGAGCCTGTATATTTGAAAAGGCGAATCTAAAGCTGAAACGCGAAGTTACCTTGAGCTTTTTATTCAGCTTGCAGCAGTAGCGATATAGCATAGCCAAATTGAGGGGGCCAAAGTCGGCATAAAAACTGCAATTAAAACAACATAATAGATCTTGTTAAGCACAGTGATAAACTCCAAGTATTTGTGGTTTTTTGGGTAAAAACTAACGAGACTCAAGCAAAACCACTAAGCATTTCCATGTCAACAAAGTGTCATACGATATATATACAAGTGGTATTTATGCAAAAATATTTTGAGAGATACGTACTTTTCATAAACTAAATCATCATCGATGCTAAAATAATGTGCATTTTGAGTGCTTCTAGGCCTTCCCCGTACTGTAGCGAAGTAAAGGCGATCTGCAAAATGGAAATTATACAGGTAGACATTATAAACACAAAAATATAACCGCGACTTTAGCAGGCGGTCTTTTAAAACGACCGCTCTTCAAGAGCTCTACTACGTACCTTTTATTATTTCACACTCGTTAGTGCCAGGCGAACGTTCTTCCGACATGTTTAAAAGCAGAATATATCCAGCAAGTTAAATTTCTCTATCTTTCATTATTTCGTTTTATATAAAAACATGTCAGCTTCCAATTGCTAGTAGCTGGATATGAAACCTTATCTACCCGTATTAGGGATGGAATGATATATATTTTACTCAAACAATGTGTATTAGCCAATCAGAACACAGGAGAATGCCGTTACTATGGCGAAGGAGATTAGTTCACGTTATAGACGTCAACAAAAAGCAAATCGGACAAAGACGCTGAAATTTCAGCCCCTAAAATCGCCTATATTAATTGCTATTACTTTAAGTCCTTACACAAGTTCAATCATACAGATTCATGCTACATACCCATTAAAATAAATAAGCGTGTCTGGGTAGCAATTAAATACAAGTGCTAATGAGTAATATTGGAGTAAAATTGGCAAATGTTTCTAAATAAAAACTTGTTTTGCACATTTTTTTATATGAGGTCCAGTATCAAACTAATACGTAAGTGGGCAGGGATATCATGCTTAATACGTTTCAAAGATTTACACTGTAACTCACCGAGAACTTAATCGATTTCAGTCTTTCGTTTCAGACTTTCAGTCTGCGGTTTCACCGGCATGATTAAGTCCCGTTGTGACGTCATACCGAAGGCAAGTGGGATTTCAAGTTCGGTAAAATAATGCCCAAATATCAAAACTAATCGTTACAAATTGAAGATGAAAGTCATAAATGAGTCAGGGTTCATGATCAGTAAGGTCACGATTCGAGAAATAACCTTCTTATTTGGTGACTCACTGCAGTGCTTGTAGGTTTTAAACACTGGCAATCAATCTGGGCACGGTTTCTAGGTCTATTGACCGTGATCCGGGCGACAACAGCCTCGACTATTTCTTCTCTTCTCAGAGAATAAAAGAAGTGCAACATTACGAAAATTATAAACCCAATATACATGAATGTCTCTTGATACACCTTTCAGTCAGCGGGCACGCCTATTACATGAAAAAGTCAGTTTTCCAATGACACAAAAGACAACAAAAAATGCTTTCTGTTTCTTGGCTACATGTATGAGACTAGCCCGGTGATTCGTGAAATTGTTAAGGCCGATTTAGTCTACACAACTTCTGCCTAAAACTGTCGTATGCAACCTGCTTACAACTTGAGTTGTACTGTGTGCAACTCGCCTACGTTCAAGCAGGTTGCATGTGACAATTTCAGGTAAAAGCTAGGTAGTGCGAGTACTGTGTGGGCAGTGAGTCAAACGAAAGGCTGCTTTCCAGTTAAGCGTTTTTCATACGTGCGTACACGCACGGAAAAGATTAAATCCATTTAAAAGTTTCTTATGAAATAGAGTGAGAGTAGGTGTTCGTTTTTGAACAAATCCCATCATATTGCGGTCCACTAACCGAACTTTGATATCGCTTTATAATTTACTGGCTTTAGTCACTCACTGCAGGAGAAGTAGTAACCTGAAGTTCAGGGCCTGAACTTCAGGTTAGAGAAGTAGTAACATCCTTATTATTTTTCACCATGTCCATAATTTTCAATGTCCATTGTCCGTTTTATATAATATGTACATAACGTTACATATTATGTACATAAATGTACGTAATGTACATTATGTACGTAATAATCGGGCCGATTATTCTGTTTTACCCAATGGCCTCGTTTCCATCTTAACTTATTTTAGCATGTCACTGTCAGGGGCAGATAAAGATTATATTACCATGTTTTCCTGGACGAATTTGTTTCTTGCTGTTCTTAAGCCTGTTTTCCACTTCAACCGTATCGCAACATACCGTAGCATTTTCTTTTGCGTCGAAGTCATTAGTTTCACACTGCAGCTCAGGAAACAAAGAAATACGCTACGTTTCGGTACGACTGAAGTGGAAAACTGGCTAGGCTCAATAACAAAGTACTTTTCAATCCTACTAAACACAAAACATGAGTAAGTATTTGACACGAAAACGAGGCCATTGGGTGAAAAGTGAATGAACGGTAAGGTCTATTAAATGATATTTGAAAAATACGCTTTCAACGTCATCTGACGACATCATCAGCTGACCATATAGAGATTATATAAATAACACTAAAGAGGGGGCAACGAGGGTGAAATTTGGGAGCGCGGTAATGGGGGCAAATTGAAATCCCGGATGAACACCACACCATTCTTGGGTTACACTTGAAACCAGAAAAATTAAAAACAAGAGTCACAAAACTGGGTGTTTGATATGTTTTGCATGTCATTACTACAAACATTCCCCCAAATTTTGAATTCAAACGATTAATTGAAAAGATTGCTGACATCAGCATTATTTTGGAGCGCACTCAAAAATATGTGTTATAGACAAAATTGAGGTAAAAATGCTTGGTAAAAATAAAAACGGGACTACTGCAGACTGCCATCATAGATAAACAAGACTTTATAGAGATTTTGGCTCAAACTCGCTCCTATTTTAGCATTTCAATTTTTTGCTCCCCAATAGCCGCGTTCCCTATCTTTGACTGAATTAAGATTACGATGCCCCCTCTACTTCTAAGTATTATTTATAATCTCTATGCAGCTGACAACATTCGTCATTAACATTCGGTAAAACCTGAAATCAACCCGATTAATCGTTGTGTGTAAACGTAGCCGCTCTAAAATTCGCCCATTTTCCACTACTATTAGGCGAATTTGTTCGCGCGAAACGAAAAACAAATCTTGGCAATGTGATTTGTCAGCTGAAAAATCCACCGCGAAAAAGTTGGATCAGTTCCTACTTTTTTACTGTTCGCGCGAACAAATTCGCCTATAGTGGAAAATGGACTTTGGGCAAATGAGGTTGTTCCCCAGTTATAGCGGAAACTGGACTATACCCGCAGAGAAACCTGTGGTGTTCTACTGGGGCCGGTTGTTCAAAGGTGGGTTAGCGCTAACCTTCGGTTAAAAATTAACCCACTGTTTTGGTTTGTGCATTTCTACACGTCTGTTTACTGATTTCAAAACTTTAGAGAAGCGAACTCCAGTCGACCTAGACAAGATTTCTGAAGAAATATTTCCAAATTTATAGTCAGGCTGTTGGGAAGTTCGTTCTGAATTTTAGGTTAACCTAAAATTGGTTTACTTAATGAGTACATTTACATTCGCCTAAAATTCAAAAACTAATAAATTAATAATAAAATCTGTCAATAAATTAATTATTCAAGACGTAACAAACAATTCAACGTTTCGTGCAAAGAGTTCCAGGAGGTTGGCATGAGGAAGGGATATTGCCTTGTTTGAAACGACAAAATGATTTTGACGGAAGGGAGAAGTCTGAACTACCCGAAATAGATCATTCTACACTTTTCAGGTAATTCATACAGTAAGCCCAAGGGGCTGTTTACACGATCCCTGTTTGCCGGGCTGTAATGGAAGGTCGGATGATTTTGATGTATTGAAACAAGTCACTAGGCTTCAACGAAAGTTCAAACGATTAAAGGAAATGGAATGTTGGGAAAACGGAGAAGATCTCGTACTTCAAGAAGATCGAAATTGCTACTTGAACAACTTTTCGTTTGCAATTATACTGTAATCTATCACCAGAAAAATGAACCGTGACTATTTTAATACGTCAAAATCGTCCCGCCTCTCATCTATGTAAAACAGCCCTTTACCACGCTTACTGAAAACCACCACGTTTGGGAAAAACCAAATGAATGTACTCGGTTTTAAAAAATTACTTCTACATAATAAGAAGTTAATAGTAGAGTTAATATTACTTCTACATAATAAGAACTTCTGAGAAGGATGCATCACCCCGGCCGTTAACAGGCTGAAATCTGTTCTGGTTTAGGCCAAACTTCTAACAATAACTTAATGGCACTGATATCTTTCTTTGTATCACTAACAGTACTGGTTGTGCTTCCACCAAGTGATGGACACAGCAATACAGGCCCAATACATACTGCTAAATTATGACTATCCATTTTGTTTGCATCACAGTTCATCAATACAGTGACGAAATGATCTAACAAGTACATAATGGTCGCTTTGGACGTGCGAGTGAACTTTTTAATGATCGCAGAAACTAGATTATCTCGAGGATTATCTGGTACCGCATCTGTTTCGCAGAGTAACTCACGTATATCTTGAGAGAGAAGAGGTCGAGGTAATTCACGTAGGTAATCTTTCAGCAAACCAGTTATAATGTTAATATCAACAGGATTCTCAGTCTGACTCAAGTCAACACTCGCACTATTGTTGTCAAATTGCGCTCGCAATACTTTCTTCTTAGCGGCATTCCCGCAAATTCGATAAATTCCAGTTGTTTCCAGGCCTCGCTCATTAATCTCCTCCACACACTTGCGAATCAAGTTCGGGATTTTTGAACCCTCACGTCGTAAGACTGTCTCAAGCGGAAAACCGAAAACACCTTCCTTCTTTTGTGACGGCGTGCGTTGAAGAAGAAATTTCATATCAGTGAATTTTAATTTGATACAAAGCATTCCGGAGGGTTCTAAACAAACTGCAAGCAAGTGTTCATTACCTTCGTTTAACAATGAAGCGAGGCTTAAACAACCTTCTGCAATCTTAACATCCTCCTTTTTGGAATGAGAGCAAACCGTTATTCGAATTTCACGTGTTCGTTGTAACTCTATTTCAAAACTCTCGTTCCATTGGAAATCATTAATACCTTTCTTCGAGACTGTACAAGCTTGCCTGACCCCGTCAGAATCTACACTACAGAGCACTTTAGTCTTTTTGCGTTTCTCTCTCGTGATAGACTCGCCAATCTGAGCTCCTTTGACGATATCCAAAGTGACCATTCCAGTCACAGCACGTGAAGCAGTTTCCTGGGGTGTACTTGGGTATAACCTGTAGCCATGTTCCGCGTCATCAGATGAGACATCTGTTGATTCCTGCACACGATATGGTTCTCCGAAAGCAGCAGGTATTGAAAGTGGTCGTGCGCCTTCCGAGAATTTCCGAACGTGTTTCAGTTTTGGGTGTCCGATCTTGGAAAACCAGCTATTGTGAGATCGGTTTAAATCGTCTGAAGACAAAGAATGAGTGAACGGAGGTTTCTGATTTTGTTTAATCGAGTTCTCAGAAACACCTTTAGACATTTGGTCTTCATTTTCAGCTGACGAGCTCACTGGGCTGTTGTCAGAAAGTCGGGAGGAATGCGCTAACATATCTGATCGAGAGAGGCCACTACTACCGAGACTTGATGAACTGTTTTTAGATTTCCTAACTTGAGGTTTTGGAGAACCATTGCTTGATAATGACGAACTAGAGCCGAACGTCTCCGATGTTTTACGTAAAGTAGATTTGGAAAGATCATCTTTTGATTCAATTTTGATTTCGTCCAACGTACGAGAAATAATGTTAGACGCAGAATCAAAGTTCGAATACTTCGGATCATATGAAGCTAAAATATCGAACTTTATATCACCTGGGTCTAAGCGCTTTGAAGTATATCTGCCGTCCTGACTGTCTGTTCCTTGCGAAGGTTTTCTTTCATTTATTGACGCAGGCATAACAGTAGATCTCTTTTGATTTTTCTGCTTGCTTGTAGAAATCTCTGGATTTGAGTGAATTTTTACAATTTCTTTATTTAAATGTGTTTGTGAAGCTCGTTGACTTAAGCTATTGTTTTCACTAAAGTTGCTGTTTGAACCCAACCGGGTATTCAGGTTAATAGTATTATTGTCGTGTTTCAGCCGGGATAAATCACTTGAAACAATATTTGAAGTATATGAACTAGGGCGATTTTCATGGCGAGTATTGAAATGTGATATACTTACTTCTGACTCGGGAGGTGCGGGTAATAACCTGCCAGAAGAACTACGCCTGAATTTAAGGGCGCCTGGTGCTGTAATAATACTTTCTTTTGCAGAAATTTGGGCGCCCTGTTTCGGACCAGTTCTGTGACATTCAAATCTGTGATTTGGTTCAATGTAGTTATTATTCACATTTCGGACACTTGGTTTTGGTTTCTCAGTACCATGTTCTTTCGAAACGTCACTGCTGTCTCCTCTACATTTAAATCTCACTTTCAATGTCAATTTCTTTGGAATTTGAATCATAGCTACAACATCACTGAGTTTATAGTCTTTAACGGCGACACGGTTAATCTCTAAAATTTCATCTCCAGTGCTAAGTAAGGAATTCTGTTCCACAACGCCACCAGGAGTTAGTCTAGAGACAAATATCCCTCCAGGTTCTTCACATTTATTAACATTATACTCCCGTAATGAAAACCCTAAAGGTTGTCCAGAGGTCTTGAGTATATTCACCAAACCAACATCGCCTTGTAAAATTACTTTTGTATTTGGTGTTTGGGATATTTCACCAACAGATTTTGTGGAAATACCACTTCCTACAACTTTGTTTGCATTCACTGTTGTCTCGCTGTCGTAATCCAACGATAAAAGCATAGCAACAACCTCTGGAGTAAGTCGTTTCTTTGCGATTGAAGCCATATTTTGTTGCTGTTCAATGTCAACAGAGTCACGACACTCTACTTTTTCAACGCTTGCGTCAATATTCGGAGCTCGAGGTAGCCGTCGCCGGGATTGACTTTGCAAGCCTGGCGAAGCCATAGCTGCTTTGAAATAGCTTTACAGAATACATTCTTGGTAGTGCGTTGACGAACAAAATATGTGCCATCGATCGTTTACTATGAGACAACAACAGTCAAGCGTAATTAGAAACCATCATTGCGTTATAATTAGATCATGTATGAACCAATGACAATGTTTGTAGTCTACAGTGGATTAACTCTGTGACGAAATATAATGCGGAATGAACACACATTGTCTTGAAAATAACAATAAACCTTTACAAAGGTCAGATTTAGTTTGTTTAGACTTTGGTTCTGCGTTTAATTATAGACTTAATAACTTAAATTTTAAAAATTTAATAGTATAAATTTTCATAGCTTCTAAGCCGGTCACATAGTTATTCCTATATTTCTTAGGCTATGAAGTTAAATGCAATCCTGAATTCTCTATGTGTTAAGTCCAACGAGGGGCACTTTGCTTGAAATGTCAGATTCTCGCCTGTATGCTTCAGGATCGTAAAAATTCACCAAAAATAACGTGTAGTTGGAAATCGTTTACTATGAGAACCCAAACAGAGACTGCGACCGCATCTGCAGTTTCATGCATGTTTATTCCAAATCCTTAGAAAATTATCAGTGGAAATAAATGTTAATGGTTAGACACACACGATTCAGTCAGTCTGTCAGCGTTTTATACGATTATCTAACCGGCCATTCTCAGTGCATGGCTGTATGCCGAAGCATAGGCCGAAGTAAGCGAACGTTCATCGTCTGACGAGTCTATAAACATAGTTTCTTTTTAACAAACGAGAACTTTCCTGACACAATTTGTTTCATTTGACAAATGTATACCAAGAGGTTTACCCTCATTACTATTGTCTAAAAACTTAACTGTTATTGACATAATTCGGATTATCGAATGTTCACAACTTATCAAGTCATGGCTGTGCGTTACACATGAGAGTGTCCCAAAAAAGTCCCCCTTTAGAAATCACTCCATGACTTGTGCGTTATTATACCTTTGGTACATTACAACTTCCCTCCGTCCAAATAATTTAACACTTCGGTTACACTTTGTGTTAAGGTATAAGTTGTTACGACACATACTGTATTTTTATTACTCGTTGCTCTGTAGTCAGTTGAACCATTCTTACTCGAAATGACAGTAAGACGAATTGGTAATTTGAAATTTTTGTGTTGGGAATTTAAAATAGCTTCTATAAAGGCCTGATTCCACGGGCGCTTTTTCTCGGCGAAATGCGAAATATTTCGCCTGTAGTCTTTTGAATTGTGGGCAATCAAGTAGAAATAATTTATTCGAGTGGTCGCAATTCAAAAGAAACAGGCGAAATATTTCGCATTTCGCCGAGAAAAAGCGCCCGTGGAATCAGGCCTTAAAACGAAGAGCAGAGGTATCACAACGCACGTTTAACAACAAAAGAGTGATTTCTATAGGGGGACTTTTTTGGGGGATGTACACCTTGTGTATTCATTCCAAAACAACTTAATCATGCATGGTTAAGATATCCAGAACAGCGTTTTAGGCTTGGAAACCATTATGCCCTTGTATGTAGAAGGCCGGTTTTGTAGTTGGAAATTTCGAACGTGAATTTTGTACAATTATAAGACCCGACCAGGAGCAGTTGCAAAATATGCAAATATAGCAGTATAGGCCCTCTGGCAGGAATAGAACCTGCGACCATGCCGTACCGGTGCAGTGCTCCAACCAATTGAGCTACAGTGACACCGGCCTACACTGGCTACAGACCAGTTTTCGAGCTCTCACCGCAAGTTCATGTATACAGGGTGCGATAATTCGCGTACTTACGTTCCAGAGGTACGTCAATATTACGGTCTAGTACTTTTGTCTTTTCAACCAGGTATAGGTACGCGGAACTCTTATTATCTGCGTACTTAACTTTTTGCTTGTACCATTTGACTTTTCCAAGCCCAAGTTATTCAAAACCATAATTCAGTCGGAATAGAAGCATGACTAGGCATTAAACATAATTGTAGTATTTGTGTATCTAACTACTACTTTCAGGTTAGTGAATGAATACCTTTAAAAACCTGTACATTATGCATGTGCTTCATTCTAAAGACTAAGTACATCTTGGGTCTTACGTTTGTACCAGCTCAAGTACGCGGCAATAACCATTGGAGTACCAATCAGGTAATACTAAAAATTTTGAATTATCGCACCCTGAAAATGTCCATCGAGTGTAGATGCCCAAAATCCTGATATTTACCATTATGCCCTATTTTTGTTGAAGAAACAAATGTAACAAATTACCGCAAGTATTGTTACATAGAAATGAACAAACACGTATGTAATTCTAGATTCCCCTTATTACGTTTTCGTAGCGCTTTGCATTGTGGTTATAGTGGTATCACTGATAAAGATAGCGGCCTCGAATGAAAATATTGAATGTTTTCGCGAATATTTTGCTGTTGGCTATCGCGCACCTGACCCTAGCTTTTTCTAAAAGTTCTTGCACGGGTCGGGACAAAAAGTAAGCCATCTTGAAGTATCTTGAACATCTGCAGTGATACCACTATAACCACAATGCAAAGCGCTACGAAAACGTAATAAGGGGAATCGCGAATTTAAATTGAAAAATATATTATTGTAAAGTTTATATTATCGAAATCATCTTAAAAAGCCTACAAAGATAGCTCCGATAAGTTTCGATTCTCTTTGGATGCTGCATATGCCACTGTACAGGATGCCACGTAATTACCCTTGAGAGTCTCCGCACCACGAAATGCAACTTTTTAGTATTGTAGTTGTTTGTATAATGGTAAATTTACAGTACAATTTTTAAAAGTCGCTTTTCACGTTGTTTGAACAGGGGATTCAAGGTTTCCGACGCCATAATGAAACACAATACAGGGTGAGTAAAAAAAACTGATACCTTCGCGGCTAATTTGAATAACAAAGGTGTCAGTTTCTTTTTACTCACCCTGACGTGCGACAGACGTGTGCTTTTCGCTCCGCTATATTTTTATATATTTTGAATAAAATCTTAGTTTTTAATCAACTATGAATTATCTTAACGGTCTATCTTACGACAGTGGAACATATGTATGGCTTAAAACCTTTGAGGAATTAGAAAGGTTTGTTCTAGAAGCACTAAACTTGAAAGGCAAATGGAAATCCCCTGGAGGCGACGTTAAAGTTTTCAAAAGCGAAGGAGAAGGGGAATATATGATTAAATGGCGTGGTCCTCGTTCGAAAAAGCTGGTTATACAGAGTGATGATGCTGAAGAGAATCTAAAGTTGAAGCTCGAAAGCTTGATAAATCGGGACCCGAAAGATGTAAATCCCTCATGCGAAGCATCAACGAAAGAGGTTTGTAGTAGTGTTAATGAGCTGACTGAACCATCTGTATCGCAGTTTGATGGCTTGAAAGCAGATATTGCTACCCTAGTGGACATTACGAGTGATCTAATAACTGAAATTAACTCTATGCGATCTAAACAAAAAGACTTTGAGTCTGTTATTCGCAAGCAAGACAGCGAGATATGTAGACTTAGCGAAGCAAATTTGCTCCTTGCGTCAAGCTTGCGGTCTCTTGGGAATTCAACATTCAAAGTAATGAATATCAATCCTATGACCAACAGTCCCACTAATAGTATGAGAAATACCACCTTTAATGACCCTACAACTACTGATAAGGATCCGCTAATTGACCCTAACATATACACCTCCCATACCATTGGACCAACTTTATTTAATGAATTTAATATCTACGACGAGTTTAGGAATATAGCAAGTGACCGGCCTAGCGTTCTAAACTCCGACTTAAATCAGTCAACTGAAGACATTATAAATATATCCCATAATGAAACTGATATACATAATGAGTCAGTTCTTATTGTTAAAGATCAACCTAGCGTCTCGAATACCGATCTCGTAAAAAACTGCACACTAACTGAAGCTACTAATCTAAATAAAGCCAGTAAAACTAAGTCAACAACGGGTAAATTTAATACCAGCACATCTCGATTAGGTAATGGACGTTTTAACCGAATGACACCTAAACGCCCAAAACATTTAACCCCGTGTCCATTCCTGAGGAAAAGAAAATTCTGTAAAAAAGGCAATAATTGTGACTTCCTACATCAGAAACCTCAATTTTATAATAACATCCAACGACCCTCCTATAAGATAATGGACAAAGCTGCCTCCTCACCCAGTTTTCATTACTCCCCTTTTCCTGTGAATCCCTATTATTTCCCTCCATTTCGATCCCCAATATACCACCCCACATCCCAACCTTTTCCATACCCTCCTTCATTGAGGTCAGTACAAACAACAGGATATTGAGTACTGATAGACATCCGCGTAATGGTCGTTGTCACCGTGCTCGTACTCACAACCCTTCAAACTGTGTCTACGTGTCTGTACATAGAACTAACTTAAATTCAGATTCTCATACAAAATTCCTACGTTTCGCCAATGTTAATGCGAGATCTCTTAAAAACAAAACAGCCGAAATCGTTGATCATGTTTTGAGCAACAATATTGATGTGTGTATTGTGACTGAGACCTGGTTAAAAGACGTTGACACTGTTAGCATAGCCGCGCTTTCTCCCCCTGGTTACTCTTTTAAAAACCTTCCTAGACAATCTAACAGAATGGGTGGAGGCACTGGCATTATGTTTAATACCAATTTTAAAGTTACTTTAATTGACGGAGGTGAAAAACGATCTTTTGAATACTCTGAATGGAACTTGGCTTTACTCAACCGTACGATTAAAACATTAGCAGTCTATCGTCCACCTTATTCACAAACTCACCCTGTTTCTTCAAGCGTTTTCTTCGAAGAATTCTCCAACTTACTGGAGAGCATTGTTATGTGCACAGAAGTATTAGTAATCTCCGGTGACTTTAATTTCCATCTCGATGATCCGTCTGATACTGACGCGAAAACATTTACTGATTTATTGGAAACTTTTGGCTTATTACAACATGTTACTGTACCAACTCACTCGTCTGGGCATACCCTGGATCTTCTAATTTCGAGATCATCCAATGACATTAATATTCACCTAGTCAAGACTACTTTCTTTTTGTCAGATCATTGTTTTGTTGAATGCAACCTCTCTTTTCCTCGCCCGAATCTTGTGACAAAGGAAATTCAGTTTCGTAAGACAAATCATTTGAATCTTCAGGCCTTCAAAGCTGACATCACTGATTCCAAACTGTGTAATGACCCATGCTCCAATCTAGATGATTTGGTGAAACATTATGATAATACGCTATCACATATTTTGGAGAAACATGCCCCTTTACAAAGAAAGATAGTGGTTGTCAGACCAAGAGTACCATGGTTCAGTGAAGAACTTAAACGTATTAAGGCCAAACGCAGAAAACTGGAGAAAGTAATGCTACGATCAAATTGCCAAAATGATAAAGACGCTTATCGCCAAGCGCGTAACAAGTATGCTACCAGTTTGAAAAATGCTAGACATAAATACTATTCTGATCTTATCGATCAATGCTCGGGAGATTCAAGAAAACTTTTTAAGGTTGTGTCTTCACTTTGCAACACACCTCAAGAAAACTCCTTGCCTCCACATGATGATTCACGTAAACTGGCTGATGAGTTCGGAAAATATTTCTGTCGAAAGATTGAGCTAATTAGAAATGACATTGAAAACGTTGTAGTAGACCCACCATTAGTAGATTATCGTTTACCTGATATCAAATTAGACTCATTTAAGCTCCTGTCAGAAGAAGAAGTCCATAACATAATCATGAAGTCGTCGAATGCAACATGTAACCTTGATCCTATCCCAACATGGCTGCTGAAATTATGTGCCAGTGAGTTAACACCTGTCATTATGAAAATGATCAACTTGTCGTTAAGTGAAGGTCACGTCCCAGAAGCATGGAAAGTTGCCATTCTTATTCCAATTCTAAAAAAATACGGTCTTGATCTAGTCTTTGAGAACTTCAGGCCCGTCAGTAACCTGTCTTTCGTTTCTAAAGCTACGGAAAAAGCAGTTGTTAGCCAGTTATTTGAGCATTGTGCTGATAATGCTCCTCTTCCTAACAACCAATCGTCATATCGTCAATTTCACTCTACCGAAACAGCTCTCCTAAGAGTCCACAATGATATCCTTATGAACATGGACCAACAGAAAGTAACTCTTTTAGTGCTCTTGGATTTGAGTGCCGCCTTTGACACCATTGATCATGAAATTCTGATGGATATATTGAAGTTAGAATTTGGTGTGATCGGAAATGCCTTAAAGTGGATTAAGTCGTTTCTTTCCTGTAGAAAGCAGCGTATTAATATTAAGCAAAAGTTTTCCGCCAATTTTACGTTGAACTGTGGAGTACCACAAGGAAGCTGTCTTGGACCGGTCCTTTTCCTATTATACGTGTCTCAACTGTTCCAGATTATTAACAGGCACTTACCTTCTTCCCATGGGTATGCAGATGACACTCAACTTTATTTATCTTTCCGTCCTGAGTCACCCGTTGTCCAAGACCAAGCTATTCAAACTATTAATAATTGCATCGTCGAAGTTCGTGCTTGGTTAGTTTCACATAAATTAATGTTCAATGACACTAAAACGGAATTCTTGATAATTGGAACTCGCCAGCAGCTGTCTAAGGTTACAATCGACTCGATTGAAGTTGGTGATGCTGATATAAAACCTGTACAAGAAGTCCGAAATCTAGGTTCGTGGTTTGACGAACATATGTCGATGAATGTCCATGTGGGCAAGGTTTGCAGCAAAGCATTTAGGGGCTTGTACAACATCCGACAAATAAGGAAGTTTCTCTCCATCGAATCAACTAAAACGCTCGTACATGCCTTTGTGACGTCACACTTGGACTACTGCAATTCTCTCTTGTTCGGCATTCCCCAATACCAACTTCAGCGTCTTCAACGAGTTCTCAATGCCGCTGCTAGAGTGACGTGTCTTATACCAAGATGTGCTCATATTACCCCTGTCCTGATGCACCTTCACTGGCTGCCTGTCAAGTTTCGCGTTGATTTTAAAATTGCACTTCTGGTATATAAAGCCCTCCACGGGATGGCGCCAGGCTACATTATGGAACTGTTGTTAGAAAAACCGAACTGCTGTTACCAACTGAGATCTGATGATCAGGGACTACTTTTTATCCCAAAAACTAGAGCCAAGACTCTTGGTGATCGAGCATTTGTGCATGCAGCTCCGTCAATTTGGAACATGCTACCTTCTGGTATTAGAAATAGTAAAACAATTGACTGTTTTAAATCTCAATTAAAGACTTTCCTTTTTAAGAAAGCTTTCGATTCTAACTTTTAGATTTATAGACACCTATACCTTAATTCTTAATATTTTAGCTACTTGTATATAGTATAACCTCATTGTTGTAAAGCGCTTTGGAATATTTTATATAATTTAAGCGCTGTATAAATCTTTATATATTATTATTATATATATATATATATATATATATATATATATATATATATATATATATATATATATATATATATATATATATATATATATATATATATATAGTTTACCTAACCAATTTACAAGCTTTCAACATTGAAAGGGGAAGTTATACATTTCTGTTTTTCTATTTCCGCGCGCGCTGTCCACAATAATTATTGCCCGGATTGTAGCTGCGTACTTACATTTTGGTATTTTTACTGGTACCATATAATCGGCAACTTTATGTAATATTTCAAATCCGACTATATGAGGACGGGACTAGATTCCAAGTCCACGCAATTTGGGTCCGAATTGGAGTATTTGGAATGACATCTCATACGAATAAATCACTACTTAAAGTGAGGTGGATTAATTTTGATTCAGTCCAAGGACTGAATCAATACATTTCACCAGGTGTCCAGTATTATCATGTGATCAAAATAAAATAATATCAATAATATAATGGTTTCATGGTTGGCTAATCCCCGAGCCAGCGGCGCGAAGCGCCGTGCGAGGGTACTAATTCCGCACGGCTAATTATACCCGGGTATGTGAAAACATAGCGGAGTGGAAAGTTGTCCTCCATTTTGTTTATGTCATGGACGGTTTTCGACGTTATGCGCATGCGCGAGTACAAACTCTGTCGAAGTAATTGTTTTTCATTTTGAAAGGACATATTTTACTGTTTTGCAGCAATTTTTTGTTTTAAATTTCGTTAAAAAGTTTACAAAAGTACAACACGAGTTTTTTTCTCCATTTTAACTGGTAATAAGCCTGCAGTTTCATGAATTTAATAGTTCAACCGTGAAACAAAGTTAGTATAATAATTGTTTTGATGTTTTGATGGTGATATCTTTGATAATTTAATCGTTGTTGTGCCGGTTTGGGTGAGTGTAAACATTTCAGTAGTAAAATTCCATGCCGTACTTGCTCTGTGTTGTCGGTTTTATTCATATCTGCGAAATTTTTAAGCCATTCTTAACTCGATAATCACTTTAATGCAAGCTGGTATGCATGAAATTGCAGTGAATGTTAGCGCATCAGTTGTGTTTTTATGTTTGTTTATAATGGTCTTAATACTTTATGTGGAGTTTTTATACTTCATCTGTTAAGAAAGGCGAGGGGTTGCTGCATGCATGTATTTTCTAGTTTACTTATGAATTGTTCAGTTTGAGATCATGCACTCAAATCCGTATAATAGACTGTACTCTTTATTGAGCTCTTGCCCCAACGGCCTCGTTTTCATGTGGTTACTACCTAATTATGTTTGTGCACAATAGGTTTAAGGATAGGTTTAAACAGAAACCTATTCGTCCACGAAACATCAGGATATAACCTTCATGTGCACTTGCCTAGCTAAAACAGAGTAACGAGGGCATTGGGGCCAAAGTGCAATAAACAGTCTAGTAAGTGGCATTTGCATCACTAAATCCATAGTATATCCACACTATTTCCATACTATATCCATGATAGTATATGGAAATTGCAATTAGTTTGAAAATTGGATTTCCATACTATTTTCAACTAAGATCCATGCTATTCCCATAGTAAGGATTTTGAAACTGACAAAATCCAGTGTATGTGCAAATTCAATATGTCTTGGCATAAAACATGATTGGATTGATGAGAAGGGACTAAGGAAAGTTGGAGCCAATTATTTGTGTTTGAATACGCACCCCGTTTGAGGTTAGATTTTGGACATTTAAACACAAGCAACACAGCATAACGAACCTTTTATAAAGGATAAGAATAAACTTATATATCACTAAAATACTAAAGCAGTACTGGCTCCCACTTTTTAGTACAAGTACCTAAACAATAGCAATATATATCTGTGGCATGCATAAAAATAAAAACTCCCACACGGATTCTAAAACCCCTACCTCGTTGAGTGAACGTTTTGTCACAATATTTGCAGCTGAATGGTCTTATCCCTTTGTGGACAACAGCTTGATGTCGACGTAAGAGGTTCTTCTGAGCAAACACTTCCCCACAATCGTTGCATTGAATTGGTACAATACGCACATGCTTCTTGCGGTGTACCTAGAATGTAAGTAATGATTGACCAGTTACTGATAAAAAAGCATGTGTAGTTGCGTATCATTCATTTTTATTGTAATTTCATTACCAACATCTTTTCATGCTGAATAGTTTCATTTCATGCTGTACAGTTTCAAGTGAACGCGGTAAACATTTTAAGTGCCGCTTTGTAAATATCCAAGAATATTTTATTATAGGTCTAGAAACACAAGCACTGCGCAAAAGTCGTTTTAAGCCCGTTTTCCACCAGGAGAATTTGTTCACGCGAAGCGACTTTTCCCTTTGTCGACATCACATAGTTTATAGACTGGGCATGGCGGAAAAATCCGAAGGAAAATTGAAGTTTCCCAATGGGGGAAAATAACGCTTTCTGAGTAGCTAAAATACCGTTGCCTGAATGTAAATTCAGATTCCCGGATGCAAAGACGTAATGTAAGCTTAGGAGGAGCGACAAGTATCAGTGGAAATTACGAAAATAATACAACTTTATTCTTTAATTATTTGTTCGACAAAATTTACGATTTCTCTCTATATATATATATTAATATCATCTGTCTATATTCTATATAATTTAATATCGTCTTTCAGTCTCTCTGATTTGTCTCTCATAGAAAGTTTAAGTTTTAGGGATATTGTAAAATTATCAGAGAGATTTTTTATTTTTTAGGGATTTATTTCGACTTGTACGAGATATTTTGAAGTGATACACCCCTCGAACACAACCTCTACAGACCAAACCTTATACAGGTCTTCAAAAATGGATGCTCGTAAAGGCCTAATTCCACGACGAGCGAAATGCGAAAAATTTCGCGCGAAAAGGTTGAACGCATGCGCAACATGATTTTGGAATGTTTCTCGGCGAAATATTTCTCTTCGCCGGGTAGTTGAATTCGTTTCTACTCCGTTGCGAAATGGAAATAGCGAAACCAATCAAATGCTTGTCTTTTGGATGACAAAATAGCGAAACCAATAAAATGCTTATGTTTTGGCGAATTTTTTCTCCAAGTGTGGAAATCGCTACGAGAGAAAATTTTCGCACAAGTGTGTTTTCGCTCGAAATTTTTCGCATTTCGCTTGTCGTGGAATTAGGCCTTAATAGAGTAAAAATTGCAGAACATACCTCTAAGAACTTTTGTGTTTGAAACGTCTCTGGACACTCAGAACACTTGAACAAACGTCTCTTGTCCCGGATTGGAATACCATGCACGATTTTCATGTTTTTTCTCATGTTTGCGTAGGTTACTAATACTGGAGAAAACTTTGGAACAAACGTTGCACGTCACACGAGATGACTCATAGTGAAAAGTCATATGTTCCTTTAAATATGCCGTAGTGTAGATCTTCTTGCATATCGAACATTCTGCTGTATGTGCTGTTTCCATATGATTGTGTCGCTCTTCCATCGTATTGAAACCGCTTCGACAGCTAGTGCACCTAAAAAGCAAGTATATTTCATTTCAAGATTTTTGTGGCATCTCACTCGAATGAATAATACAATACCCATCAAATATACTTCAATTCACCCTTTCATGCCTGCATTGTGAAAATGACAACATAAGATCTTTGCGCTTTGGTTTGTTTACGTTATTAAGTACACGCGGGAAGGCACAAATTATTCCATGCGGCCCACGCAAAGGCCACGCAAGCCATAGAACAATACATAGCGCAAAGTGGAATAAACAGTCTAGTAAGTGGCTATAGCACTGGAATAAAATAGTGAATTATATACTTACGGAATTTGCGATTGCATCACTTCACTCTTTCATGCCTACATTGTGAAACAGCTCGATCTCTTCCGAAAATTAAGGCTATGTCTTAATTGTAAAAAGCGTTCAAATTAAGACATTGCCTTAATTTTAAACATAACCACCACCCAACCCCCACCCTAACCTCTAACCCCTAACGCTAATCTAATCTTAGTCTAACCCTAATCCAATCCAAATCTGGCGCCCTTATTGGTATTATCAACCCTGTGGTATTATTAAATAAAGGCTATGCCTTAATTTTGGAGAATTTGAAATTTAAGCCATATCCTTAATTTTCAAAAGTTTTACAATTAAGACATAGCCTTAATTTTGAGAAGAGATCATGTTGTGTGAAAATGACCACATAAGATCTTTTTTCCAAAAGTTTCTACCTTGTTTCGTTTTTCAGATGACAGTGTTTCATGTGACGTCACATTAAATGATCATTATACGATCATTGTGACTTCACATTGCAGATCATCATTTCATTACCAGAAATTTCGGACACAGTGGCATCCACTTTTTGATTAAATTATCTAACTTCTTACTCAATATGATGCCGTGATTCTTACTATAATTCACACAAGACAGAAACTAAATAGTTAAAATTCGCACACATAGAAATAAAGTTTCTCATTTGCCGCACCCTTGCTTGGAAGGGAAATGATTACTGCAAATGCTATATTTAATTGAGTAAATTTTCGGCCAATTGCAATTTTATAAAGTCTATTTATCGCCTACCTAAAGCCTTATATTTCTACATAAGTCAAACAGACTAGACAAAATTATGAATGGCGATAACGGGATCATAGAGACTCACTTGTACATTTTGCCTTTTCCGCCAGCCTTGTTCACTTTTCCGTCTTGTGAACCATTTCGCGTGAATTCTTCGTTCAAAGAGTTTCCTAAACCAAGCAAACTATAATAAACAATTACTGGATAAAATTAATTTTACATCTATCCAGCCAAATCGTCGATGCTCGTCGGCTTAGCCTGTTAGCTTGTTTGGAGTAGGACCGTTAACCAAATGCGAAAGCATTAGAGGTATCTACGGGCAGCAACGTTCTGGGGATTTCATAAGGAAATTGAAAGTAGTCCTAAGTTTTTTTGTTTCTGGTATTGTGCACTCAGGTGAAGATATATGTTTATGATGTTGTCTCTGAGTATGTTCACACCTGGCAAGCTGAATGAAAAGTTTGCTTGACCGCTGTGGGAATCGAACCCGCGACCTTTGTGTGTTTTGTTTGTTTATTATATACATGACAAAATTACTGCAATCTGATTGGTTAAGAGGAGTGCAATTATTTCATTAATTGCACTCTCCAGGAGTGCAATTAATGATTTTCGTGATGGCTGGGGGGAGCGGGAAATCAAAACAACAAAATCCAAAATGGCGGCGAAATTTAGATAAGTATTTCTAACAAATGTGGACGAATTTAACTGGATTTTGGCACAAGGGTGAGTTTAAGAAACATTGTATGGCAAAAAGAGCCTGTGGAAAATAGCTGGAAACAGTCTTAAGAAATAATCTTGGCGGGATGCAGCGAAACGTGACTATGTAAGTTTGAAATACAATTTATAAAGATTTTCTTAGTCTAAAATATGTTGTTTGAGTTTTAATCTTGTGTTCTAGTTTAAGTTATGTGCCTTTATGAGTTTATAATCATTTCCCAAGTTTATTTATACCAAATTGCTTACAAAAGAATTAAAAACTCTTGACAAAATGCAGTTGAAATATAAGGGAGCATTCATTTTTTAGCTGGGGGGGTGGGCCGGAGGAACTGATGTCTAATTCCATGCGAAAACTTGGAACCCCCAAGACAAAAGTTGATAAAAAATTATGAACCCCTATTTTTTTTACTGAAAATTTTTTGACCCCTCATCCTAACTATTAATCCACACGGTGTCGTTTCCATAGCGTTTCAGGGCCGTAGGAAGCTTTTTATTATTGGGGGGCTGAAAGCGAGGGCCGAAGGCCCGAGGAAGTTTTTAAATCTAGAGTGTCTGAAATCAGTGCCATTTCCTGGGCCTTTGGGGGAAGATTTGACAGAATAATGATGGTCAGAAAACAGCGTTTTAGTATGTCAAAATTGACAATTTGGTAGTACTAAATGGGCGAAGGCGTATTTAATTTACTATATATTGGATAACTAGGATAAGTTGCAGGAAACTGTGGGTACTATCTTCATTCTTTGCAGTTTGTCATGGATAATGTAGCCGCTTAAAATTAATAAAGCTTAAAATTGATCAAGGTCTGCATGATTTTGAAGTCATGCATGATTTTGAAATCATGCTACGGTCCCGCGTTTTCTTTCATTCATGTTTTCACACAAAAACGGATAAAAACGAGGTCAATTGACGAACGTCATGGAAATATGGATTGTGTGAACAGAGCGTCAAATGAATTTTGCTTCTTTGTTATAGATGATGAGATAGTTTATAGATTCTGGACCTTTTTACCATTCTTGATCCAAATATTTCCAAATTCAATAAAATCATATTGGTGATTTTTTCACTGATTATTTTTATGACCCCCTTCATTTATACCAAAACTATAAAAAGACCCACCCCTTTGAAGCATGTCAAAATTGGCTGACCCACCCCCAAATTCCTCCGGCCCACCCCCCCAGCTAAAAAATGAATGCTCCCTAAAGAAAGCGATTTTGTCATGCATATAATAAATAAATAATCAGACGGACAAGTCGTGCAATTAATGATTAACACTACTCGTGATATTTGAAAAATATGCCAAATTGCACTCGCCTCGGCGGCTCGTGCAATTTTGGCACATTTTTCAAATATCACTCGTAGTGTTAATCATTAATTGCACTCCTTCCCTGTCACCACATTAATTGTAAGTTGGTTTGATATCTTCTGGCAACTCCGTATCGTTATCATCAGTGCTAACATGATTATCATTATGATTTGCCATTTCCAAAGCACTAGCCGACGTTCGCTGTTCATGAATTCTTGCAAGGAATTCCGGACCAACAGTAGCTCTACAAAATTAAATACACGTTTCTTCTACTGTATATATGACTCGTCTTTTACTTTTATTGTCAACTATAGGCCCTTGCATATTGCAACTAGTTATGTCTAAATAAATGTATGAAATTGACACTCAAAAATTCCATTTACAAAAGCCTTCAATCGAGTGGAATGCAAAAAAATCCTAATATTTAACCTCGCCTACACATGTATATAATTTGCATTTAGCTAGTAGCTTATAAATAGTTCACATGCAACATCATTTTAACTAGAACAAGACGCCTGCTCAGGCGTTCACACTGGCCTTCGCGGTTGGTAAAATACCATCGCAATATCCTAAAAAATAATTTGAAATATATAGAATGTTCCTCACTTCTTGACGGCCGTCACTTCATGATCACAAACATTCAGAGGACGGCACAATAAAAATCCATACAAAATCAATAGAGGTCAGCGATATCTTATCGAAAAACACAGAAAAAGTTCAAGCGCATGCGCAATGAAATACAATAAAATACGTCCCAGCGTCTACGTTGTTAAATACGAAAATCGTTCTGGTTACATTTAGCCTGCGAACAGGCCCTGGGTTACGGGCGGCGCGAAGAATAGAGGGCCTGCACGGAACTATAGCTTTTCTTGGTAGTGGCGTTCGTATAGAAACGCAGGCTTCTGATTGGCTTACACTCGTTGACAAAATTACTAAAAATAGCAAATGTCAACAACAGCATTTTGAAGAATTTGATTTGAACTTTATTCATTTTAATATTATATATTATAAGACTATCGAACAAATAAAACTAGAAATGGAAACCAAAAGCAATAGCAAAGCATCACAGCAAAAAAGTCTATCATAAATGACTTGAATCTATCGCTTAAATCCAATACACGAAACTATAACAGTATTCTGAACTTCGTCTTCGGATTGACATCAGACTATAGTATAATACATTTTGAGGTCGTCGTGGCTTCACGGATTATTCTCATTAATAGTGAGCAAGTCAGCAAGCGAAGGCATACAAAAGATACCCAAATATGTACGAATAATTATATTGTTGATCCTCGCTGGCATGTCATTTAGATAAATATATATCGTACATTAAACGTTGTACTATTTTAATACTGTATAAACTGCTGACAATTTCGTCGTTGATACGGCTTCCACTATTGGCACACTCGTGATTTCGAAGAAATTAATAAATACATGCATGCTCATTTATCATTTATTTAGACCACAGTTAGTAAAATTTTAGACGTATTCGGTATTCCAAATCCCAATCTATCTGACCGTATTTTAGTATTAGCTTCAAATATTCAGAACATTGTTCTTTCAGTCGCACCATAGTACAAGTATTACTGTACATTCAATGCCAATGGTAGTATTTTATTCGGTTTTATATTTGTATGTGTATTGATATCTATTTAATATTTGAAGAATTCTATATTTTTCCGAGTAATATATTGTGCGGCCCGCTAATGCTTTGTATTATTCTTCATATATACATTATGTATACATTTTAATATTCAGTATTTCTTCGTTGCACAATGTACATGCCTTGCGTCAATTTGACAGTTGACAGTTTATTTATCGCAGTCGACGCCGATTGGTTCGCGTTTAGCAGATGCGAAAAGGGGATGATTGAATAAAACGCATGGTTCCGTGCAGGCTCACCTTTCTCCCAGTGAGTCTGTTTGCAGGCTAGGTTGCATTGTGTAGAACTAGTCCTAATTCCAATCCTAACCCTAACCCATGTCGTAATCACCTGAACATTTTTAGCTAAATTGCGAAATCCTGAGCGCACGATGCCACAATGGAAAGTCACGCTTGCAACAACCAAAAAAAAATCCCCGAAAAACAGAAAGACCATTCTATGACACTGGCTGCGGCCAGTATAAAAAACATTTAATATCAGAACCTAGTTACCAAGATATATTAAATTGAAGACATTCTTTAAAGCTGTGGCAACGAAAAATTAGCTTGCTTGCAACATGAGCGGCTATGTTATATGTGAACTCAACCAGACTGTGCCAGCGTAGGTATAGTGACAAAAACACAAAAAAAAACTGCAGATAGACAAGATTAAACTAAGAAAGGCTTTCTTTTGGGCAGAAAGAAAGTTTATTAGTCCATATGTAATGTGGTGTATGATATAGAGACTTGTTTTTGCACTTCACTTGGTTCAACTAGAATGCTGGGTTTGGTGAATAATCCAAGTGCGCATGTATATATACATATTTCAAAAACTCATTAATAATTCAGGAGGAAAACACAAAGAAAAATCATAAGCGTGTCGTGGTTTTATATGTGATAAAAAATCATGTTAATTTACATAAACTTTAGCTTTGATTTTCTCGGTTTAGACAAAGTTTATTTTAAAAATTACTTCGCCAATGAACTCGTATAAGATGAGTCGTTTTTGAAGCCATTTAAAGCACTTGTAGTCGTGTTTTATCACATATAAAACACTCCGCTAGCCTACGCGTCGTGTTTTATATGTGACAAAACACTTCTACGCGTGCTTTAAATAGTACATACAATTGTGGGTATATTATATGCTCAATTAGATTATCCACCAAACCCAGCATTCTAGTTCAACCAAGTGAAGTGCAGAAAACACCTTTCAAGTCACCTTATCACAACCCGCACACCCGTGAATCTATATACATGTACTTGCGGTTACAGCTCGACAACAAGCCCCTGTAGCTCAGTTATTACATTTAGCAGTATTTAAAACGCGAGTTCGAGTGTTTTAAATAGCTTAAAAATACGACTACAAAAGAATACTAATTAGGATGAACAATTATATAATCATACTAATTAGGATGAACAATTATATAAGAATACTGATGAAGATGAGTTTTATGATGAAGATGATGTTTATGGCTGAGTATTTTAATTATATTTAACAATTATTGGATGAGGTTTTTGTGATATGCGGAATTATCAAGGTCGAGGCTGATAACGCTTACCGAGATCTTGATAATTTTGCATATCGCCAAAACCGAATTCAATAATTGTTTTATTATACATTTGTTCGTGTTAAATAGATACCGCTTGCTAATCATCGCAGGCACATTTGCAGATAACTCAGTTATCTGCTAGCAGATAACTGAATTTTCTGTAGGTTGCGTGATAGACCTAACCACTCTTTGTATCTCAGTTGGTTAGAGTGCTGCACCGGAATCCCAGGGCCGCAGGTTCGAGTCCTGCCAGAGGACATAGTGTTCAACAACCGTTCCTGGTTAGATCTTAACAGTTAGATCCATGTTTTTAGATCAATTTTTCTTTTAGGTCAATTTTGAGATATTTTCACTAAGATAATTTATCTTTCCACGACATTCAACTATTTTAAACGTGTACATGTCTCTCACTTTTAGAAATACATCGTGCTCTTTAAAGGATGACAATCTATCCAATAACCACTTCCATCTAAATATGTAAATATGTAATAACTTAAAGGGAATGTAATGCTACAACAACACTATACTGTACATACATTTAAAATACTCATTAAAAATTCATAAACCTTGTGGCAAATCATGTCAGCCATAATATATATGTCACGTAGAGTGACTTTATGTCTGATAAAACTCATCTTGATTAGTATTCTTTATATAATTGTTCATCCTAATTAGTATGATTATATAATTGTTCATCCTAATTAGCATTCTTTTGTAGTCGTATTTTAAGCTATTCAAAACACTCGAACTCGCGTTTTATCATATCTAAAACGCTCGGCTGCGCCTCGCGTTTTAAATATGATAAAACACTCCTTCTCGTGTTTTAAATACTACATAGTACCCATCCCAAAATATTGGCCCGCAACCACCGTGATCTGCGCCTGATTTCAAATTCAGAAATTTCCTGAGTTTAGGGACTGGTCATAAAGTAACTGCTAGGGTGGGCTGGAGGTAAATCACAAATTTTGCCAATAAGTTTGGTGACCCATCTTAAGATGTAGATAAAAATTTCAAAGCCCATCTAATGTTACAAAAAAATTTTCATGACCCACCCAATCTGAATTGGAAAAATATACTTTTATAATAAAAAACTTGCAGGTATGAACATTGTAAATATACACGGCACTGTATTGACATACATAATTCCACCAAGTTTGACCAACACATTGATACTGAGCTGCTCTCCAGTTGGTTGTATTTGCTATGATTCGGCCACTTCTTGTTGTATAAACAGAATACTGGCATCAATAGCATCATTTGCATTTGATAATTTGGATATAGTTTTGTTTACTTTGACTATTAATATCTTTATTTTTCGAAGTAGACATGCATGGGTTTTTGTTTGGTGGCCCAACCGTGGACATACGGAAAAATTTGCGACCCATCGAAACTGCCCAAAGATTTTCCATGGCCCATCCCAAATCACTCCAGCCCACCCTAGCAGTTACTTTATGACCGGTCCCTTATTTCAATGCTGTATGATTCTTGTAAAGGTTTGGCCTAACTACTTCGGAACTTCGAAGTATTTTTGATCATGTAATAACAATACATGAAGCAGACATGTGTCATTGACTCCTATTTTAGTAGGTGCGAGGAAGATAGAACAAAGATTTCCGCGGAGTTTCCCGACTATCTTGTATCGTGATTGACTATGGCCACATTTAAAACCAGGAAATCGCATACCTCAAGTTAACAAACGGTTCAGCAACATTTCCCACCGGTGGAAAGATATTTGAAGATTGCATCGTCTGTACAGGTGTCTGTAGTACTTGTGGAAGATCTAAAATAAATTTAAAATACATTGTAATAATTGTATGATAATTTTTAGGTAAGCCTGGCCAACTGATCTCACACCTACGACTGGACAATGCATCTGCTCTATCATTCTCGTACCCAGAGCCCTTCTTACGCGCGGTGCGACGAGGGGCTCTGGCCCAATCCATATTCCGAACTGGCATCTGATTGGCTAGTTTTAACACCGGATATTGTTTTCTTACCATGTTTTTATGGTATCCGGTTATGGATACCTATCTATACAACTGATGCAAATGAAATCATATTGGTGTGACAACCACAACTCTATTGTTTTACTGAAATTTTTATTAGAAACATTTTGCATTTTCTGGATATCGCTAAGAAAGAAAACGTGTTGTCTAGATAGAAAGTGGCCATCAATGGCGGCTCGTTTTTAGACCAGTGGCCTGGTCAGATTTGGACATAGTGGTAAGAAAATATTTTCGTTTCCAAAGGATTCTCAATTTTGGTATAGAATAGGTAATTGCATAAGTCCTAGTGTAAGATATTGTGTAGTCTATAAAATGAGAAGACCAGTATCAAAAAAATTATTCTATACTCTGATTAATTCTGGTGATTAAAACTATAGGGAAAGTAGGATTAGCAACTAAAATTTGGTGTGAAGGTTTCAAATGAACAAAAGTTCTGTTTGATTACAAACAAACTGATTTGCCATTCATCAACTATTCAAATTGGCCAAACACGCCGCGGAAGCTGATTAACTAATGGAATTTGAGTAATTAACGTTGTTTTATGAATAAATAATGATGTACAATGCATAAAACCTTAGTTTACAGGTTGTAACTGCTCTTTCTGTGCTGATCGCCAAGACAGAGAAGTGCAAGATAAAGAAATTTACGGACTTTACAGTATGGCTCCACGCCTGTTCGACCTCCTTGCACGTTACAAGAAGCGGTACTTGCGACTTAATGCTGTTGCCCAACCGATTGATCTTGATTCCGCTCCGCCTCAGAATGAACCAGTTTCGCCGGTGAATGATCCAATTGAAAATGAACAGCTTCAGGCATCGAACTTGGACTTGGACGTGATTCGTTTATTCATATTGGTATTTGTCTGTATTGTAGCGTGTTTTTTTGCGTGTCTAGTTAAGACTTTTGCCTTTTGGGTAGTTATATCGCTTTGTTAGCAGTATATGATCGGTGTGGCTAAGTTATTTTTCGTTGTATAACGCATGCATGCATGGTTCACTCGTGGGCGGCTGATCGGAAAATACGGCCGCCTGTTTCTGTGTGTGTGTTTAAAGATCGCTTACACTTGTGGTTTTAGTTACAGTTCTGTTGTATGTTATACATTATATCTTCATTTGATGTGTATTTCCGTCCTTGTGCGGGGTTATTTACCGTCAAGTTCGCTTTCGGTTCTTTTAGTTCAGTTGAGATTGCGACGCATGAATGATTTCCGTCTGGTTTTATTTAGCATTGTTAATTTTGTTAATGTTCTACGCGAGCGGGTCGTGTATTTCGCAAGATTAAATTGTTGAAAAGCAAAATAGCTAGGCTATGGTGATTACTTTCGCCTTTAATAAAATGGTTATTGGGTATTGTGTTTTCGTATGGTATGGGACGGGAGTGAATTGCACTGCATGATTGCTTCATTCCGAGCTTCCGTAGTTTATTGCGTTTGCTTCGCCGAAAGAGGACCACTGTGTTTGCCGTATGACCGAAGGGCATCTCGCAATACATAATTGCTTGCTTGCGACCGAGCACCTTGACAAATCCTACTATGGATTTAGCAGTTGCCAATGGGTTTGGCGTATGAGAGAAGTTTCTCTCGCAATTGCATGATTGCTTGCGACCGAGCCCAAGTCGCTACTTAATTTGGATTTTAACCAACGTTGCATGCCAATGTGTTGAGACCGAGCACGGTTATATCGCAACTGAATTTGGATTTTAAACAAAGTTGTCAATGTGTTTGGCGTATGAGAGGGGTGCATCTCGTAATGCATGGTTGCTTGAGACCGCGCACGAGTAGCTACTGAACTTGGATTTTAAACAAAGTTGCCAATGTGTTTGCCGTGCGAGAGACGTGCATTTCGCAATGCTAGATTGCTTCAGACCTAGCACGAGTAGCTACTGAATTTGGATTTTAAACAAAGTTGCCAATGGGCTTGGCGTATGAGAGAAGTGCATCTCGCAATGCCAGATTGCTTGAGACCGAGCACGAGTAGCTACTGAATTTGGAATTTAAACAAATTTGCCAAAGGGTTTGGCGTATGAGAGAAGTGCATCTCGCAATGCCAGATTGCTTGAGACCGAGCACGGGTAGCTACCGAATTTGGATTTTAAACAAAG